GTCGGTCACAGGAGGTTTTCACCAGGTACATTGATTCTATTATAGAAAACAATAAGATTGTGTCTGTGTGTGCGCATATGACTGATTCTGTTCAGTGTGGTTACGGTATATATATGTAGAAAAGTGAAGTGAGTCGCTGTTATACATAATACTGAATGTTTAATAGTTTTAAGTCTTTTTAATAAGCAATTATTTTTAAGGTTTCGATGAAAACCTTTAAAATAATTTCCCAGCCAAAACTGAAAGAGTACACTAATAAGCAGATTACACACTTTTCAGGGTTTTCCTAGCCAAAACTAAGATTGTGGTCGGCTTATGATCCATTGGGAATAAATTTCCAAGATCCCAATCATGGCAAGTTACCTTAAGATTAATACCCAGTGGGATAAATCAAGCATCAAGTTAAAATGTAAAAAAAATAAAACAAAAAATTTTTTTTTAAAATTAGTGGCATAGGTAATGAAAAATAAATAGAATAAAAAGGACTGTATTTACATGAAGTAAAATGTTGACCAGTCATTGTCCTGGCATGTCATGATGCCTCCTGCACATTCATCATAAGAGCAGCTGTGAATTCTGGCAGTGACGGGGGTCTTCAAGTGATCTCTGTGAAAACAACTTTAACCTGGAAGTAAAATAATACATGAATTAGGAGAAGACAGAAACTTTACTATATTAGAGTGCAAGCTTGAATTAATATGAAGACGATATCCTATGAACAATTTTAACCTGAAAGTTACCATCATAATAAGTACCCAAAAAAACATTAATCACACACTTGGAGTAATCATTGCTTTTACACCAGCCATGTTTGCATGGGTGTTTCGACAAAAAATTCCTGGTTCTCAAAGGTAAAGTTGAATAGCTTTGTTTAATCTATTAAATAGTTAAAGTCCAACCACTATTGGAATTAGTGAGTATTCACGCTCTTTATTTAGGGAGGTGGTGTTAAATGAACAAAAGAAAACCTTCAAAATGGTCAAGTCAAACTCACTGCATTACAGTAGTGAATCTTTAAAAATTTAAATAAGATTTTTTGTCACAGACAGACCAATGGTAATATAATTCTAACCTGCAAGATGTAACTCTTGATTATTATTACTATGATTTTAACCAAAAAAATGTATGCTATAGCGACAGATGAATCTAAATATAAGAAGCAATCCATCTAAATAGCTTTTTTTCATTTTTGTAATTATTTCTTTTACAGCAAAAATACACTCAATTTGTCAGAAGGAAATTTAGATTTTTTAGGGATTTTTATCTAATTTTAACTAAATTAGGAATGTGCAAGACTTTACCCTAACCTAATCAGTGAAACTAACCATTCCAATACTGTCTTTTGATATTTCTTACATGCACTAGCGGGATTTATCTTTATATAAAGTGCATTCAAAGGATCAAGATACTAATGTTTATTATTGGAAGGGGGGTTAGGATGATGTTAGGTGTTTAGAAAAAATGTAAAGATATGTTGAATGTGTTTATTATGGCATGTAATTGACTAGGGCAGAGGCTCCCAGACTGTATCCTGCTGCAACCTGAAGTGTTAAAAAATGAATGGACTTAATGCAAGCCATTTATAATTAAGTTGGTATGTTTCACTAGTTCTCCAACCTACTTGGTACTCTGTACTTATTAAAGTAGCAGTTGGTTTTGTGCAGTGTCTATGCTGTATCAATTAAATATTGTTTTGATAGAGTCAAGTGAAGTTATTGAGGTATTTCTTCTTGTATAAGTATAAGGTTTCAATAATGGATTAGATTGTTTAAAAAGTGCTATTTTACAGTGCACAAAGAATGTGGCACAGAGCAAAATTGAAAAGACGTGGGTGAAGCAACGGTGCTGTGACTCCAAAACGCGGGAAACTCTGGACTAGGATATTTGAAATTCATGTACTAGCAGCATTGCTGGTAGGAGAGCTGGTCACCCGAAAGCTTTTTCGTTAACCCTCTTGGGACGTAACCCTCTTGATTTCTCGCTGTCTAGCAGTGAATCTGACACTGACGAAAATAATCAGGAAAGTAATGAAGACAATCAAAATGATTAAGTTTACAATAATGTTGTGAATCCTTGGATTAGGATTAGGGATTCTGAATTGGATAGAGATGACCCTTATGAATTTTTAGAAAAATAGAGCCTTTAAATATGCCTCATGGGATAAGCATCCCGTTTGAGTACTTATGCTAATTTTTACACAATATATCATTGAAATGATTGTGAGAGAGAATAATAATAATAACTAATAAGTATGCAGACAACTTTCTCAGTAACACCCAGCTCAAATAAACCATAATTGAATGCACAAATGGTGAAAAGAACCGCTCTGTCTGAAGCAACCAAAAAGTACCCCGAGGGCAGGAAAAGGAGTAGAACTCTGTGCCAGGGGTGTCTGAAGGGCCTCCATGGGCCTTATTTCCCAAAACACATGTGTTAGGATCCATTCATGCTTCATCCATCAAAAAATTCACATAATTTACACGGTAAGTATTGTTTATTCTCAGTTGAAATCGATGATTCTGTTTACATGCAGAAAAAATCATGTCGGGCCAGTTTTGCCACAACAATGGGTCTCTGGAGGCATTTGTCAGGAGATTAGTGAGGGTTTCATGTTTTGTGTACAAGATAGATCAGCAGCTACACATTACACTTATGCCGATAATCACAGCGTACATCCTTCTGGGCACAAGAGTCATGTCAGATCAATGGAGAGCATATAATGCAATTGGCACCACTCCGGGATTGACTCATCAAACGGTCATTCATTCTGTTAACTTTTTGGATCCAAACTCAGGTGCCAATTGCCAAAGCATCAAACGTTTGTGGAAATCTGCAAAAGAGAGAAACAAGCGCCACAATGGCACATACAGACATATGCTCGATTTGTATATGTGTGAGTTCATGTGGCGTCAACGTTTTAAAGTAAATGGTTTTTATGTCTTCAACGCCATTCTAGACGATATTTGTTCTATTTTGGCCACTACAGCAGCGGAGGACCTTTAAAGAAAGTATGTTTTTATTCAAAATAACTTTGTTTTATTGGAAGTGTGAAGTGTTTTAATGGAAATGTGAAATAATGTATAATAATTTTTTTTTAATTTAGGGTTCATGTTAGGTTTAGGGATACATTTAGGGTTCAGGTTAGGTTTAGGGATACATTTAGCGACATAAGTTCGTGGGTCACGATAACCAAGATGGCGGCCGCGGGCTGATCTCTCCGAATTTACCCCTTTTTTTTTATTCTAAAGAACATTTGCTTTATGGGAAGTGTGAATTATAATAATTTTTGCGGTGAATTACAATTGAAGTATCCAATTCNGAACATTTGCTTTATGGAAAGTTTGAATTATAATAATTTTTGCGGTGAATTAAAATTGAAGTATCCAATTCTGATACCGGGTCCGAATAGCCGAAGCAAAACTTTTCATTACAATTACAGATAAGACAGTAGCCGATTTGCCGCCAAAAAAAAAAAAAAAAGCAACTTCGATCTTGAATCTTGATTGATGTCATGTTAAATATTATAGAACTATATTTAAATCGAATTTAAAAAGACAATAAAATTATAAACATAAACGTATTCTTACTTGCTTTTAGCTGTACGTTACTAATAATCATGGTTCTAAGATCGCAAACCAACAGGAGGTGTCCGCCATAACCGTCACTTGACCAACCGAATTTATATAGAACCTCACGTGACCAGCCGGGTCCGAAGAGCAATTTGCTACTATACTATAGGTACCCGGGTACTTACAGCCACTCCGATATTTTATGGTTTTGAGAGTATACGCCCGCTGAAAGCTATCACAAGAAGCGTTCCCGGGTTAGACAAAACGATCGCCTTGCTAGACCGATTGAATTGTTTGTTTTTAAATATTTTTTAAATAGGGAAAATAATCACTTACACAAATCTAGGAGGCCATTGTAAAGTATAGCTTCCCTTCATTAAACTTCACATTCTTGTCAATGCCTTTTTTTTCATCAGTTAACTCTTGCTAGAATATGCAATGTACATTAAAAAAATAAAGCTCATATTATATTTTAACCCACACTTTTAACATATAAAGTAGGCAGTGTCTACACGTCCGGCGCGCCGGACGTCTATCTCCCGCACTATGTGTCCGGCGACCAAGTCACATGCCCGCCGTAACAAAGTGGCGAGAGATATCGTGTCGGTCAGCCTTGTCACGTGACTGCGAATAATTCACAACTATTGTTAATTTTAAAATCTATTTCTCTACCAAGTAATGTACTGAGTATCTTGAATGCAAATAATAGAAAAAGAAACTTAAGTGAAAGTGGCTTGTAAACATTTTTGTTTAGTTTGTTATTTTTTGTGTACCAGTAATCCATAAAAAGATTTCATTTTAAATTATTTCAATTGCTACAAAATATTTAAAAACTTCTCATGAAACTACTGTTGCTGAGGAACATGATAATATAAATATATACAAAATATTTTAATTAAAATGGGAAGAAAAAAAAGCGACCTTATCCCCGGTATAGATCCTCAAACATTCCTATCGTCAAGCAACCACTCTACCCCAAGACCAGACAAGATGTACTAAATCGTACTTCGTTTGGAATTATAAAAACTACTAGCCGTCCGGCCATGTCTGGCGGTCACGTGACAAGTCGCCGGACGTGTATCTTGCGCACTACACGTCCGGCGCGCCGGACTTCGTATAAAGTAAAGCATTTTATTGTAAATTTGCTTCCTTTTTAAGAAATCTCAAGACCATTATACATAGCTTTGCTCAAATGCAAAAAAAAAACAAACAACTTTTATACCCCCCCCCCTCCTCTTAAAAAAACCTACAACAACCCAATAATAATGAAACATCTTCTCAAAGTTGATATTATTTCAAAGTCCGTTCTAAGATATGAGCCAATTAAATGGATAATTTATTTAACTTAAAATCACCGACACAGTTCAGTAAAAAATCATTGTGAACAAAGACATTTTTTAATTAGAAAAATATAACACTTAAAGAATCAGCCATAATTATTAAGTCATTTTATTATAGAAATTCCTTCAAGCCAATCATCAATTTATAAAATTCAAACATTAACATTTAATCAACAATATTACATATTTATATGGGTCTTTACCGTCAACAATTTACTATCAACAACTTATTATTAACAACTGTCATAAATTTGTATTGCAACGAAGTTAGAAAAAAATATTTAAAATATTCTGTTTAAATTTTCTAATGCAGATAACCAACTAAAAGGTTATGGTAAAGATTAATAATTAAAAAAAGATAAGTAAAAAAAAGTAATTGTCATTTTAATAATCCGAAACGAATTTGAAATTAAGGAAAACAAATAAACTAAGCCCAGTTCAAATATTTAAAAGGAAATTTTGAGGAGATACTTCTTAAAGCATGGAAGTCTGAGTTAATTTTTTGGTAATGGGGTGAAAGTTGAGGAAAAAACACACATTCTGAACATAAGACATGGTTTTCTGCTGGTCATGATACAAAGGGGTAAAATCAGGATTTACACATTTACACTCCCTAGGCCAAAGCCAGTGATTTACATCGATTCTCATCACCATCAGATCCTCATGAAGTGGGTTTTGCCCTGGGTGCCAACATTATGGGGGTGCCATTTGTCAAAACATGGGGACCTTAATCGTGAATTAAACTATACAATTCCAAGTACTTCACAAAGACAAGGGATGTTAAAGTGGTCTCAACACTGGTCCACCCTGGGTGGCACTTATAGATTGATGAGTGCCACTTTCAGATGACTAAGTCAGAGTTGGCCCTTGTTTACATCATGCCTAACTTTGGTGCAGATAGATGACCTCCCCCTTTCCTGAACCCATGAAAAGCTGCACCCCCACCCCCTTCCCCCATGAAATTGTCTGAAAAAACACACTATTTGTGCCTGACATGCCTTAGCTTTAACACCTGTGCCTGACATGCCTTAGCTATAACACCTGTGCCTAACATGCCTTAGCTAACATTACTTGAACAGATTAGCGAGGAATTGGGGGGCATCTGTGCATTAGTTTGTGCAGGGCCCTGATGCTGTTAAGATGGCCGTGCCTGCTGCTCTTAGTGTGAGGCTAGCATTTTCCCCCTTAGAGAAGTTTCACTCCTGTCACTCGCAGCGACCTTAGAATCTGAATTTATTTTTATTAAATTTTAGTCATGAGTCAAGTTATGAGACAACACAAAAAAAAACACACAAAAAAAACCCATAAAGAACTGATAACAAAATAATCATTTAAAAAAATACTAAAAACATTTACATAATTTTAAAAACCCATTTTCCCAGCAATCGTATAACTTAACACATTTTATTTAATGTTATTAACTCAGAGAGAGGCACCGATATATCAAAGTTTGAAAATATTTTGACATTCAGCCAGATATCATATTATTTGACTAGCATGGTGTTTAATATCCTGGCCCGTGTCTACTCCTCTATAACAGAACATTTTACAACTGTGATCAGAGATGGAAAGAAAAATTTGAAAAGTAATGTGATAGTAACACTAATGTGATAGTGACTTACACTGATGTAATATTTACTTACACTGATGTGATAGTGACTTACACTAATGGAGAACAAAAAACTAATGAGCTTTAATGAACAAACTGTGGATGAACAAATGAGAACTGAATACAGAGGCATTGCATGGGTTGCCAAGACCAATGGCAAGTATTTCAAGCGCTTAACACTGTTCAAAGCCACTGAGTTTTTCCCACAGTCCAGTCAAAAGTTTAAGTAATAAAAAAAATTAATTATGAATAAATGTCTTGGTTTTTTTTCATGTCATTTTCTTTTTTCTTTTGAAATTTTACGGCTATGAAAATTCTGAAATCTTTTAACAACCGTTACTCTGAGACATGCCACCCCAGCAACACACACACAATACATCACGAACTGAACAAAAACATCAAGATTCATGTTATGGTCAACTGGGGTCAAGCGTAGACTCAGCTGAGAAATCTGCAGCTGCTGCTGTTGGCACATCATCTTGGGAGTGTGAGAAAAAGTCCTGCGTCGAGTAGATCTTCGGTGGGATGAAGTCTGGTCTCTTGGGTTTGGAACTGGCCAGGACTGGCGTCTTCTTCTGATGGGGCATGGAGAAATAATAGAGGCCATTAGATGATGATATCACTTCTAATGAGATGTCATTACATAATGGAACCCCTACGTGTCACAGATAAGAATATGTGAGCCACTAATGGGAGACAAGTAATATGCTTAATATTTCTTATATATAAATATAATACACAGAGTGTTGGGACTTGAGAGGAAATGGCCAATCAGAGTTTTCTTTGAATAATAGAGAGAATGATGGTGGAATGAACAGAAGCCGTTTACACTGCATCAAGATTTGTTGACAACATTATCAAGCAAAAGAAGATTACATTAAAGAAGTTTAAGAGGAATTGAAATTGTGTTAAATAATTCCAAGTATCTTCATATTTTTGTGAAACATAGGAATTATTGTGAGTGAATGTTGCTATTAAAATCACTCACTGTTTGAACTACATTGTCTCTGGTATTATTTAAAACAAAATATAACAGTGACAGTAGGACAATATATTTTTAATAAAATTGTGCCATGAAAGTTTGCAGCAGGAATGTCAAAAAGCCAAAAGAATAATAGATGAAAACATTTTTCATTGAAATATGTGACCCAATTAGTGGATACAATTCTAGCGATCTTTATTCAATAAATTTTAAATAAATATTGATTTTTATTAAAAAATTAACGAGTCTTTAACAACCATCAAATTAGCATGTTTTTCCTGTGTTCAAATTGGTTTAAAAACAATAATGTATAGCTTTATTTTTAAAAATAACTTTAAAGAACTATTCATTAGGATTATTCAAACCTCCAGTACAATAATTAAAACTAGGGCTTAACTGGGTGCAGTTTTTTAACACCGCGTCGGGGTATTTTTAAAAAAACCTGGTGGGTCCAAGTGTTACAAAAAAAGAGTTAACTTCTCATTTTCTATAACATATGCAGGCTTTTAAAGAATAGTCCTACAGACAGTCCCAGACAGTCAGTCCTACACCATACCCATGGCTCTTTATTGATTAATATAACAGTCGCCTCCCACTTAAGAAAAAAATTCTAATTTTTTTTACTGGAGTTCATGAAAGCTCACCAATTGACAACCTTTTTTTCTTCTCAGTCGTATTAATATAAAAATGTGGAGCAGGTTGGGGGGTGGGGGGGGGGGGGGGTTGTGAAAAGGAAGCCGGGCGCACCAGAAGCGAAATATATATTGAGACACTGTGGGGAAAATCTTGTGAGAATGAAAAGTATGCTTAGAAAAACCAGAAAGGTAGAAAGAGGGGGGGGGGGGGGGGGGGGGGGGGGGGCGGTTGTGAAAAGGAAGCCGGCGCACCAGAAGCGAAATATATATTGAGACACTGTGGGGAAAATCTTGTGAGAATGAAAAGTATGCTTAGAAAAACCTGAAAGGTAGAAAGTAGTATTATTTAATTTGTAAAATCTCCATGCGGGTGAGAGGTAGGGAGCTGACAGAACAATTTTGAGAGAGAGAATCTCTCTGGCTCGACCGCTTAGAGCTGAATAAGGGTGAGAACAGAACCAGTCTGTTTTTACCAGTTAGAGTTAAATTAGAGAGTGAGAACCAGTCTGGCTTGACCGGTTAGAATTGAATGAGAGAGTGATAACCAGTTGGCCTTAACCAGTGTCCACTTGATTGTCTCATGCCAGCTGATGTATGCCTCAATGAATTATTATTTCAATTTTTAAATCTATTTCATTCGGAGTCCTACCATGGAGACTAAAGATGTTAATTTCTTGACTAGACCTCCAACAGTCCCCAGGTCGGTCTCCGCTTTTGCTACTTTCTCTTCTGTCAATGCTACACATTCCCTCACGATGCCAACAAACTCCTAAAATTCACGCACAAAAATTCATCATTTAAAATTAAAGATAATTATTAAATGAAGACCCAGTGAACTGTAAAAAAACAAAAACCTGAATCTTAAACTTAAATAACTTTAGTGAAATCAATAACATTGACTTTTTTTCCAGTTTCTTTTAAAGACATTTAAGAAATACTTTAGCAAGTTAAGTCAATTAAAAAAGCTTTTCTTGCACCGGGTACAAAGGAGTTAAAAGTCAGTACTAACCTCCAGTTTATCTATTTTGTCAAAGATGGCCTCCATCTGGGCACATTTGTCCTGAATCTGTGGCAGTGTTGTGGTTAAACACAGTGACGTGTCACTCCTTATCTAAATTTGAAACACATAGCGTATTACCCTCTGTCAAAATGAACCGTCAGTTAACTGTTATTTATATTTCTGTTTCCTATTTAAGATCTAAATGGACCAAATAAAATTTAATTAGAAGTTATAAGATGTGGTAAAATAAGAGACAGATTGCATCATTTTGATTGCATTGGTTAGGTCCACAGAGCTTGGTGGACACAACCTGTCATCTGGCCACAAATGTTGACCGTCTCCAGATGAGGGAAGACCTCCATGATTTTATTATGGAATTCTTTTCTCCAAGCTACAGTATGGTCAGCAGTCCAGTTTATTTCATGTTTCTTCTGGCGACAATGTCAGACATTGGTTGGATGATATAGGTTGGATGATACTGGTTGGATGATATTTGTTTGGCTCATTCCATCTAACTTGTTAGTGTTTATATTTTTAATACGCAAAATACCATAGATTTCTTTAAGGCTGTACCAGAACCCCCATTATCAGTCATCGCTGTTGCTAATTTTGTTGTCATAAATTTTTATTTAATTTGTTAGTGATGACATGACTGATGTTCCCCATAAAGTTAATGTCTGCGCATTTTTTCACAAACTAATTTCCTAATTATCAATACTTTACCATGTCCACAAGAGAAAAAAATTCATCAAGCTTAGTCAGCATCATTTCTACACTGTCATTGAATTTGTTTTCCTGAAAAGAAAATAGTAGAGTCTGAAATTCTTACAATAAATGGAATTATATCTGTGACCTGAGCCAAAGCCCTTATGGACCCTCCAGGGACCCTATCTTGCGGGACCTTTAATGGGTGTTTTGCCCCAGTGGCGAACCATCTGGCTACCCCAGGAACTCCTAAATTGTAGCTCCCAAAAAAACTTTATTATTATTATTTTGTACTGTGACAAGTGTTACCTTTCGAATAAGCAAATACTCTGGCAGTGTCAAAAATAATTTTTCAGCAGGGATTTGGAGGGAGCTCAGAGCTCTGGGCCAGGGTCTTTTTGCCTGGAGATGGTAAATGTCTTACTGCTTTAAGTCTGAGCTCAAAAATTAAATTTTAAAAAAATATCATTTGAACTTGCACTTTTTAATTTTAAAAAAAATTCTCAAATTTGATGCCCTATATACTATTTCTATTCTTCTACCAGCAAAGTTGGCCCCACGCTTCTATTAAGAATTTTCCCCCTACTCTTCTGGTAAATTATTAGAAAACGTCCCGCGATGGCCGCCATCTTCGTTGACACAACCAGTTAATTTTGTCGCTAATGTATCGCTAAATCGATCCCTATGCCTAACCTGAACACTAATTCACTGCAACTTTAAAAAACACACAAATGACGTCACAGGGTGAAAACTAAGAATCAGCCCAACACCCAACTCAAAAATATAAATTATTTACTAATTAAAATTACAAGTAATACAAGTAGATACTTCGGTAAATCAAGGGAGACTAGTACTTTTTGTGTATCGTAAGTGGCAATCGGCGCTGAAAAATCCAAGTTTTTATTTTTCCGATGTGTGTGTCTATTTATTATTAAATGAGTGTTTTTGACATATATTTGAGTTCCATTTCCAGCCTTATATTTTGTTAGACATCTTGGCTTACATTTTAATCAATTTCTTTTTCATTTACAATCAGTCAGCTTTGAGAAAATCCTTGGTAAATATAAGGCAACATTATCATTAAAATTAAGTCGAAGTAAAAGATTTGTCACTACCAAATTTTTTTTGTATCTGGGGAATGTATTGATCTACATGTATGCCAATTTCCACAGCGATATGTCATTTACAAAAGACGCCATGTTTCTACGGGTTCACAGCAGTCATGCAGCTCGCTCAACCTAATTTCGCCATGGGGTGGGCCACGCCCCGTTTTTAATGGTAGAAGTTGCAGATACTTAGGAAATATTAATTTATTACCACTATTTACATCAAAATATTTGATAACTTGTGTTTCAGAATGCATTTTGAAGACATTTAAACTGGAATGTTTTAATTTGAGCTTCAAAAACCTGGTAGAGTCCATATTATAAGTGATCAGAATTTACGGTGTGCAACAAGTTGTCATTGGCAACCATTCACAGCCACTTGCATAATGGCTGTATTGTGGTACTACTTCAGAGTTTCATTCTTAAGAGTTTGCCGTGTGCAAAAACTATTATACCATTGGTCAGGGAAAGCTTTAATTAATTATTCATGTGCCAAAGTTGAAAGTTTTAACTAAGTCGACCCAAAACAGTATTTTAGTGATAAGGCGATGCGTTGCCTTATATAAAGTTTATAGTCATTGCGCATGACACGATCAGCGGAATGAGGTCACAAGATGTGGAGGTTTCGTCCAGCGTAAAAAATACCAAACAAACTCACACTTTAAAAATTCGTAGCTCAAAAAGTACTTAAGCTAAAAAGTTGATTCTGGTTTCATTTTTTTATATGAAATTTGCTCTAACTAACTGTGGTATTAAACAAATTATTTAAATTTTGTTTAATTTTGTATTAAAGTACCTAATTACAAGAGGCCAAAATCGAGTCCATGACGTCCATGTTCATCCCAGTTTAATCCACCAAAAAGTTTGCATGCTATTAATAACTTTACGTAGCTTATAGGCTCATCTCAGATAGGGTGGGTAAGACTATACTAACTAGTACTTGTGAGTATAGTGATATTTAAATTAAGGGCTTATTAATAAATTAATAAGGTCAATGAAAAAAGGTCTGCACTGCTCGGGCACTGCTGGCTAATCTTGAAGTTGAATAACGTACTCTTATTCTATTTACAAATGCACACCTCTTTAGCAACGCTGAAATTTAGAAATTTAAAGAAATTGGTAGCCATTTCATTTGTGATTTCTTTGTTACTCTTTCTTTCATTTTCATCAGTCACAGATGACGATACACTTGACTGGGACTGTAGTGTTAAATCAACTGGATTTGTTATTGGGTCAGCCATTTTGTACAGTCATGTGACCCACTTTGGCAGCAGAGGTAACTGAAACAAATATGCTATTTCTATTATAGTTATAGCCTCCCTTTATTCTCTTAAACTTCAGATTTACTTGTTTGGAGTTGGACTGAAAAAGTTGTGCAGAAAATTAAAAATAAGCATTTCTCTATTAATTATTAATATTTCATTAATCATGATTGATCATACAATATTTAAGATTAGATTTATTTGACTTTTAATAATTGATAAGGCGATCTTCGTATAATAAATTAAAATAACTTTAACTTACTTTAAGTTAATCATTTCATTGGGCTCATTACTTTAAGAATTTAATTGGGCCCATTACCTAAAGAATTTAATTGGGCCCCATACTTTAACTTAAACTCAGTTGGGTACGCTGTTACTGTTATATTAATCCAGTACCCATATTAAGTGCAGACCTGCTTAGGGACAGTGCCTGCCTTGGTAAGGTTTTTGCTATAGGCAGAACAAAAACTGCAGCCCTTAAAATTAAAATCATGTTGCTCTGTTTTTAAATTTTTAGTTTTTAAAGAAACTACATTTTGTATTACCCGGTTTGGGTAATTTGTATAGGCCTACCGGTAAAACCGATTGATGAAAACTTTCTATCATATTATCATATTTTTAAAAAAAAATGCTTTTCTTGTTCTCACAGAAGAAAAAGACTGAATTATCTCAGACATATCCAACAATTTAACCATCTAACACAGCCAACTCTTCTGCAATTGTTCGTTCTGTTTATATTGTAGCTAAGCCCAATCAAACGATCTTGAGACCTACCCGGTAGTATAATAGTTGAAGAAGAAATTTTTTTATGAGTTTCTCTCAGTCTCACCACTGGCAAGTCATGGGGAGTGTTGGCAACAGTGATTGGGAGTGTTGGCAACAGTCATGGGGAGTGTTGGCAAAAGTCATGGGGAGTGTTGGCAACAGTGATTGACAGCGATAGCTATTTCTGTGCTCTGATTTTAAAAAAGCCAAAATGTTGAAGTCATATAACAAAAGGAAACATCATTGCCATTGCTACACAATTTGAGGGGACTATTTTTTGAAAGAAATACTTTTTTTTCCATTATAATTTTTTTTTTTAATAAAGTTGAATTTATTTGAGATATACATTTAAGGGGTTGCATTTTCGGCGGATTGCAGTTATACCAGCTTAAATTTTTTTTTCATCTTTAGTTTTTTAGTTTTCATTGTTTTCCAAAATTTTTCTTTTCCTCTCACTGGAATTTTCTGCCCTTTGAAAAGTTTCGTTATAGTATAGACAGCTTATACCTAAAGCCTGCACTGCTTAAGGATATACTATTTGACATCATTAAGGTGACAGTGAGAATCTTCAAAATATAGGAGCAAACTAACCGACATTACTAGAAAATGTTTGTATATATCTTTTATTTTGATAGCAATTCTTGAGACAGCAGTTCTTGAGATACCGGGATAGCAATTCTTGGGGTAGCAATTCTTGGGGTAGCAATTCTTGGGGTAGCAATTTGAGGGTTAAAAAAAAAAAAAGATAAATATTCATTTCTATTTCTAAATATATTAATAATAATATAAGTTACGCAATAATTTGCTGAAGCCTGTGGCCACCTTGCTGCATCAAGCAAAACACGTGCACGTTGAAACAATGTCATCCCTCCATTGACTCTTGTTTTAACCCACTGCCCAAACTCTCAAAATCTGCTTCAAAATGGTGATGAATACTGCACATGTTGGCATAGTTGGTGAAAGTTAAAATAACTGGTCAGCGGTTACCAATACAATGGTGCATTCCTCCCCACCTCCACCCCCCTCCCCACCCAGAAACAATAAAAATAACATGTTCAACCTGTCACTTGACTCTTGTTGTTATTTGACAAACCAGTTAAAGTTGTTTCATGCAAAGGTGTTACTAAACTGATTTCCAAATTAAGATCAAATCTAAAACATAATTTAAGTCATATGGCGCCATGTGTTGGCTGCCTCTTGACCAAGACGTAGAGGGTTCAAATCTCTCCTATGGGTGAATGGACTCCTGAGTCAATCCCTGAGTTAAAAAAGCTCAACCAGTAGGCCGGAAGACAGCACCCATCTTTAACTTTAATTATATTGATTTTTTTTATCAGCATCCTCCTCTTGCAGACCGAAAAGTGTTGCCATTTATTCCAACTTTCTTTGTGCTACACAAGCACCGTAGATATTTATACATCAATGACAAGGTGAACATTCAAACTGCAAGAGCCCAATCAATCTCCTGAAAAAATGTCTAAGTATGGACAAGAGCATCAGCACCGAAAGCAAAATAAAATTTTACAAGAGAGCAGTGCTCTCGTCGCTACTTTATGCATGTGAAACAGGGACAGTCTATCAACGCCATGCTAGGAAGCTAAACCACTTTCACGGCCTCATAAAAATGAACGTTAATTGCCAGGTCAAGGTTCCAGACACAGAGGTACTAGCACAAGCAGATCTCTCTGTATGTATAGCTTTTTACTGAAGTCCGGGCTTTGCTTGGCCGGACATGTTGTGAGAATGCCAGACCAACACTTGCCCAAAAGAATATTTTATGACAAAATCAAGGACGGGAAAGAAGAAACAATTTATGAAGGATTGAGACTGGTGGCGCTTAAAAAAAAGGTTCCATGCAACATGAGGCAAACAGAACAGCTGCCGCAGGACACCTAAGACAAGCCCGAGTTAACTCTTTACCTGGAGTTATCCCATCCTTCTCCTGCACCAGAATATTTTGTGCCAAAATCGACCTGATCAGCCATCTGATCTGCACCAACAGACAGATTCTGCCCCAGATTCAGTTTAAAATGGTCATGAAGGGAGAACTAAATTACAAACGGCTATTCATAACATGGCGCCATGTGGGCAGAGAGGCTATAATTTATGTCGTTGCTTTTTTAAAATGTGAAAAATAAATTAAGACGACATGCTTAATTACTTCGATGCCAACGCTGCTAATTTCTTACTTCTGTCAGTCTGTCCAGCTAAACCTGGAGACTATTCCAGTTAGTCCCATTCATTTATGTTTTTTCATGCATTTTGCTTTGGTTTCTTTTTTGAGTTTTAATGCCAATAAAAATGGCTGGCCTGATTCAACTATTAAAAATTTTTTTTTTTTTTTCTATGTTCGGGGGCCCACATCAATTTATTGATCATTCTGGCTCATGCTTTGAATTCAGAGTTTGACTTCTCCTTAACAAGTTGCAATCCAAGGATAGCGAGTCCCATCCTCCCATGGTGCTGGACATGTTTTTGCTTGTCTTGGCTTTGGTGGGGATTGAACTACAGACCACCAGGCTTTTGGATTGCATCATTATAGAGTGTTCGGCCACCCAGCACCCAGTTTAGCACATCATTAGTTTTGAAATCTCTCTCCCAAAGGCATAACTTCTGGGATGATTGTCTACCTTATTTTCCAGTTAATGCATAATGGCTGTGTTGCTTAGGGTGAAATGGCTAGAAAGACTTTGTATGCTTGTAATTAGTTTTTGTAGTGTTGCGTTTGTTTTAAATGTGGTAAATTATAGATTTGTTTTTTGTTTACTTTGTACCGCGCTTCGAGCCTTTGGGGATGAAGCGTGTTTTTGAAATGAACTTTATTATTATTATTATTAGAAAAACATTTGTGATTCCGTGTAAAAGGGGGAAAACACAAGAAGTAATAATGGACATGAAATATCGAGATCCACAGAAAATAAGAAGGCCAAAAATGACAATAGGGAGTGTGAATTTAATAACTTGTCTCCATTCATCACTAGAAAACTCTAGATCAGCAGTTCTCAACTTGTGGGTCGCGACCCCCTTGGGGCTCAAACGACCCTTTCACAGCGGTCGCCTAGGACCATCAGGAAAACACATATTTATGAAGTAGCAAGGAAAATAAATTTATGGTTGGGGGTCACCACAACATGAGAAATTGTATTAAAGGGTTGCAGCATTAGGAAGGTTTGAATAAATTTATGGTTGGGGGTCACCACAACATGAGAAATTGTATTAAAGGGTTGCAGCATTGGGAAGGTTTGAATAAATTTATGGTTGGGGGTCACCACAACATGAGAAATTGTATTAAAGGGTTGCAGCATTAGGAAGGTTTGAGAGCCACAGATCTAGATGAATGTTTATCAAAAGAACACATTGCCTTAGTAAAAAAGCAATTAAAAGTTGTAAATATTTTATTTTTCAGCTTAAGAGCTTGGGTATTAATTGATTTATGAGATGATTAAAAACATGGAAGAACAATTGTTACCATCACTGATGATCGACCATAATGCTTTAAATGCCTTAAAACTCATCTGTTTAGGCCCGCCTATGACCTGTGATGCACCCTCCTTGCCCTACCTCATTTTCTGTTTCGGTTTGATCCTGAAGTGTCAAAGTGTCCTCTTTTTATAGCCATTTTCATTGTTTCTATAGAATAGTAGTTACTATCCTAGTGTCTCATTTGTATTTACTTAGTTTACATGTTTTAATAATTGTAAAGCGCTTAGAGCTTTATGATAAGCGCTTAATAAAAATGCCTAAATAAATAAATCAATCAATTTTTTGATTGATGTTAACACTGACTGACAAGCCTGAACACAGGTTTGTAACAGAGAACATGGATTTATTTACACTGGCACTGTCTCCCTTCAAGCTCACAGACACATGCTAACAGTAGAATGCTTATGTGGAAATGGCTGCCTGGTCTAATTTCTGGGCAACAGGTTCAACGTCTGGCATCTCAAGGTCAGCATCAGCTGCATTCTGTGAAGACAAGAATAACAATCATCATCATCTACAATTACTATAGTGTACAAAGAAGAAAAAATGGATAGAGATAATGAAGGAAAATATCCCCAGGAAATAACCCATAAGCTGGAACTTTCAATATCAAGAAATGTACACAGGGCAGGGAAAAGCCTGAAGAAAGAAAGTATGGCAAAAGCGGATGTTTTAGCTAAGAAGCCTTCAACAGCAACAAAAAAAAAAAACACAGACTGACAAACTTAGATGATAGTTATGACAGGT